AGTCAGGAGACTGTGAGTTCTAGTTCTGCCATAGCCATGACTGGCTGCCTGACTTTGGGCCAATTGTCAGGATATGGTAAGTTCTAGTCCTGCCGTAGGTATGAAATTTGGCTGGGTGATTTTACACCGATCACTGGGAGATGGTGAGTTCTGGTCCTGCCTTAGGTAAGAAACTTGGCTGGGTGACTACGCCGATCACCAGGAGACTGTGAGTTCTAGTCCTGCCTGAGGTATGAAACTTGGCTGGGTGACTGTGCCAAACACCAGGAGACGATGAGTTCTAGTCCTGCCTAGGTATGAAACTTGGCTGGGTGACTTTGCGCCAATCGCCAGGAGACGGTGAGTTCTAGTCCTGCCTTAGCCATGAAAGCTTGTCATTCTCTTTTTAACCACACCTACCTCACACGGTTGTGGGGAAAATAGAAAGAAGAAGGCCTGTTAGATATCTCTACCACTTTGAACTATTTGTAGAAATAGTAAAGGCAGGATACATATAAAATAAACAAATAAATAAACCAGTTTAAGTTCTGCCCCATCACCCGTGTTCCAGATTTTAAATATTTTCCACTATCGGATCTTCATTGCAAATTCTACTCTGACTTTTGAGGGCGTTAAATTGTCAATTTGTGGCTGAAGCAACTAAGTGAAATCACACTTTTTTCAGTTATGATGGCTTCAAACATCATCCTTAGGCATTTTTTTTGTGGGGGGGGGTCATCTGGTTTTAGTTAATGATAATATTTAGTTAATGATTATATGCAAATTATGCCTTTTTCCCCATGCTTTCTTTGTTGTGTGCACACGAAGAAATAAACTCCATACACACCAGCCCTCATTGCAAATTCCAAAGCAAACTCTCTTCACACATTTTTCTGTCTTACCACACATCAGAACAAGGATTGTTATTATTATTATTATTAATTTTTGGCATATCCAATCTACCTCTTCCTACACCCACATTGGATCCACCCAACCCTTCCTTTGTTTGGCATGTGGGAATGGAATTTGCCTCACAATTTCAGTCAGGGCTGTATTAGTCTAAAATATTTGGCAGGCGAGGTTGCATCTAAAAAAATGAAAACAGAATGACTAATTACCAATCACAGTTCCAGCCACACACACATCTACCAAAAAAGGAAGATGTGAATTCGGAATTCAGTCTTTATTGATTAGCCTTTGGGCCGTATCAAAGTTGTAGAATTCCAGAAACAAAGTCTTACTAAAAAATTGATAAAAGCAATTTAAAATGGAATGGGATAAAATGCAATTTTAAATGAAATTGGAATAAAACATGATTTAAAATGAATTTGGAATAAAATGCAATAATTTAAGATATAGACAAAATGTGATAAAATTATATTTTGGTGTCACCCCAGCAATCTACTCTAATCAGTCCCACATATGCAGATCTCAACTGAAACCATGTCGGCTTAAGTCCAGTGCTGTATTAAATGTTATTTTCAGATTCTGGCTGCATGTAAGGTAAGTTGTTTTGATATGGGGTGTCCCAGTGGGCCATTGAAATATGACAGTGTGAATTATTTCAGCAGCCACTTCTGATTTATTGTCTTTCAGAAATTTGGGACATAACTCATAATTCAAGATTGTGGTGTCTAGGAGTCATCCCAGGCCACTGTAGCTTATACGCCCAGGTGAGAAAGTTGCGGGATTTTTAAAAGACTATCAATATTGCTGTTCACGGTTTGCTCTCTACAGAAAATAGAGTTTTATCCCAGGTTTGTGAGTTGCGTCCCTTATTTAGTTCCCTCTTTTGCCAACGTCAGTCAGAAGAGCTAAATTTAGACAAGTATCTGGCTGGGGAATTCTGGGAGTTGAAGTCCAACCATCTGAAAAGTGCCCAAGATTGAGAAACACTGGTTTACAGAGAGACTAAGGAAGTATCAGAAAAATAGAGTTGGAAGGGACCTTGTAGGTCATCTAGTCCAACCCTCAGCTCACGCAAGAGATCCTGCCTACACCATTTCTGACAGATGGCAGTCCAGTCTCTTCTTGAAAGCTATCAGAAATGAAGCTTCCCCTGCTCAATAACAGAGTTGGAACTGACTTTGGAGGTCTTCTAGTCCACCCCCCCTTATTGATTAAAAGAGTTGGAAGGGACCTTGCCAGGTCATCTAGTCCAACACGCCCCGCCCAAGCAGGAGACCCTACACCATTTCTGACAAATGGCAGCCCAGTCTCTTCTTGAAATCTTGGGAGTTGACGTCCACACATCATAAAGTTATCCAGAAACATCGGTTTATAAGGAGGTGCCGAACAAAGTTTGATTTCTCACTGACAAAAGAACCCAAAGGTGCGTTATTTTTTTTCAAGAGACAACTGGACTTTCTGGATTTTCTTTGAAGAGGTTTCTCTTCTCATCCAAGAAGCTTCTTCCGCTCTGAAGATCCTTCCCTTCCCCACCATCCAGTCAGAGTTGAAGAAGCTTCTTGGATGAGAAGCAAAACGTCTTCAAAGAAAACCAGAAAGCCCAGTTGTTTCTTGAAAAAAAAAAAGGCATCCTTGGGACAACCATGAACTGTGAATCTCCATAGACATTGGCCAAAGGGAAACCGCTTTTGAAAAAGGGCACACACGAGCATTATTTAAATACTGAATTACTAGCTGGATACCTGGCGTGCTTCGCTACAAAACTATATGGTCAGGGTGTTTTGGGGGTGGAAAATAAGGGGAAAAATTCTGCCTCTGCCTACCAGCATCCATCGGTATTCATCTGGCTAGCGTCCTATCAAGTGTGAGAGAGAGTTGAGGGCTGTTTGGAAACGGAAACCGTATTTGCTGTGTGAGCAAGAAGGAGACAGCAAGGAGCCTGGGCGTGGCTTAGCTCAACTGTTCTGTGCTAAAGCGGCTTGCTGCTGTGAAATTGAAACTCCTCCCCTCTGCTTGTGTTTTGCATTTGGAAGAGATTTCTTTTTTTCAGGTGGGGAGGGGGAATAGAACTCCTTAGCACCAGAGCATGTTAATAATAATAATCATAATCATAATAATAATAAAGGAAATACTAATAGCTCTGATGGTCATTTCAAAAAAACCATTTCTTAGTGAGCCCCTAGAAGCTTAGAGGAACATACGTGCCAAATTTCAAGTTTGTAGGCTTTACGGTTCTGGAGATTTTGCGATGATGCGTGAGGGGCCTTTCGCTTTTATAGATATAGCTAAAATTTTCTGGAATTGCGTACAGTGTTGGCCACCCACCACCCAAATAAGGGGGTTTGCACAGCATCCCAACGATGGCACTGATGTGCAACACTGGATCTGCAACCTATTTAAGGGGGCTGTGTGATCACTGCCAGCCGCTCTTAATCTGAGTTTGGTAGATGATGGCCTGGGATTATCATGGCTTTTTAGGGGTCTGTTTTATGCGATCTTGGTGGTCCACGGTATGAGGTTATTTTACTCTGACCGTCCATTTGATTTGATGTTTTATCTGCTCTCGTGGATTTTGTACTTTTGCAGGCTGTCCAATGTGCACTGGATTTGGGCGGCCAATGAAGTCAAATAAATAAATGCATTTTTCTACCCATGGCTGAGCAACAGGGAACTACGTGGTCCAGAATCCTCCTTTCCTCTCCATTAATTTTCACTTCTATTAGTCCATTTAAGGATGATCTTGAGCCAGTAAAACTGGGATCAGCAGGAAAGGCAAAATAAAGGCTTAGCTTTGTTTGTTATTATGGTTATAGTTACACAGTCAATCAGATGTCACTAATTTTTTGCTTCATTCTCCTGGCAAACTTTTTTGTATTGTTGTTGTCTCAGGCACCTACAGCTTGTTAGGAAGGAAGGAAGGAAGGAAGGAAGGAAGGAAGGAAGGAAGGAAGGAAGG